CACACTTCTCTTATAGAAATTTGACTTGTCTACGGATGGACTTCGGTCACCAGTGGTTGTTATAGATCGAGATAAATGCAGAATAAAAAAGACAAAAATGTATGAAGTCGTATGATGTGTCCGGAAAGAGTTAAGTGAATAGTTTAAGCTTTATGTAGATAACCCGAACACTTCGGATCTCTATTTCTTTTCTCTTAGTTTTCTTCCATTTATATTGAAACGAAGTTGAGATTGTGCAATGACATGACATCAGTGACTCATCTAAAACGAAACCTTTTCATAATCATCAGAATGATTTTATTGGATTCTACATCAACTTTTATCTATAAAACCAAGTCGACGCAAAACTGACGACTTTATGTTGAAAATGACTTGGTCGATTTCAAAACTGTATAAAATTTCAATAAAACTCAATTATTACGTCGTATGATGTAAGGCGCCAGTACTTCGACACTACCTTTGATCTGGCTCATCGAACCGATGAAGAATATGTAGCTTTCAGCCTTATTAGTGAAAGTTTTCAGTATAAAAGTTTGAAAAAGCTTTAACGGTCTCAAATTTCATAAAAAGTGCGAGTTTTGTTTTGAAAAACTAAATAACTATATTTTAAAATTGATGTAGAATCCAATGAAATCATTCTGATGATTTTGAAAGGGTTCCGTTTTAGATGCGTCACTGATGTCATGTCATTGCCCAATTTCAATCGGTTTTTGCACCTCTGATCTAGAAAATATGAACTTTCTCCATGACAAAGCACGATGGAAGAAAGAGAGGTATGTACTTTTAAAGCTCGTTTAATGGTGGTTCCATTGCGAAAGTTCATATTTTCTAGATCAGAGGCGCAAAAACCGGAATTTCTGCTATTCAGCTTTTTGGTACTTTCACATTTTTAAATCCGGCAAATAAATTCGGGAAAATGAACGGTGTTTTCATGGGTCAAAACATGATTGCTACTGATCATATGTATACAAAAAGACAAAAAAAGATCACCCCATATGATGTGCAAATGTAAAAATATGTATGAGCAATCGATCCGAGAGTATAATCATTTGTATTTCTTTAAAAAAAATGACCCCATTTATTCCTCTAATGGATGCTACAACACAGGAAGTTGCAAGGCCACCAGATAATGCTAATTCCGGGTCAAGCCCATCTACAGAACAAAATCCATCAATTGTATCATCACAAGCAAACATTCGAGGTTTATTCTATGGAAGATTAAATATGGAAAAAAAAGCAAAGAATACACAAAGTATAACAATACATCGATATGATGAAATTATATCCAAATTAAAAGGTTTTAAGACAGGTGTTAAGCGTTCGACACCTGATGATTATAATATTTATGGACGATTTGAATTATACATGGTTGAGAATGTGGAACAACTAATGAAAAAAAGACGTCCAGATGAACAAGATATTAAAATTCTTGTACATGATCATCTGAAAAATATGTTTAAATAAAAAGTCGACTGTTTCGATAACAATTTTCGCCAATCTTTTATGGGGCACACTTGGTCAATCAATTGTAAGTACAATTGAACTGAATATGTGTCTAATGCCCTTAGGTATCAACAGACGCTTTTTATTAGGTCTTCTAAATTCGGAGCAAATTAGCTTTTACTGAGAAGAACTTCGAATTTAGGGCCTTTTTTTGTCACAGCGTCACGCACCGACAAACGGTTCTAAAAATTCGGCAGGTGTTAAGCGTTCGACACCTGATGATTATAATATTGATGGCCGATTTGAATTATACATGGTTGGGAATGTTGAACAATTAATGAAAAAAAGACGTCCAGATGAACAAGATATTAAAATTCTTGTACATGATGAACAATTATTTGATTGTATCAATGATGGTAAATGTTCTATAAGTTAAGTTCTTTGTCTGATGTGTGATGTTCTTTGATTAGAACATTGTGGATTTGGTCATGATGGGAGAACACGCACACTCAAAGAAATTCAAAAGAAGTATTCTAATATAACAAAACAACAAGTCGAGATATATTTATCAGTTTGTGAAATATGTCAACGAAACGTGATATGACCAAAAAAAATATTGTTGTAAAACCGATTCTCAGTAATCGGGTTTTTAGTCGAACTCGTGTTTCGCTCATTTCTGGTCTTCATGCATAAGCTTTCATCAAACACATGTGTGATCTGTTTGAGTTGTAGGTTGATTTAATTGATTTTCAGTCAAAGCCTGATGGTGAATATAAATTTTTGATGAATTATCAAGATCATTTTAGTAAATTTACTGTATTTCGACCATTGAAAAACAAAACAGCAGTAAAAGTTGAACGTGAATTGGTTAATATCTTTTCTCTTTTTGGTGCACCAACAATTCTCCAATCAGATAATGGTCGTGAGTTTGTAAATCATATAACTGATTCACTTGCTGAACTTTGGCCTGGCTTAAAAATAGTTCACGGGAAACCGCGTCATCCCCAAAGTCAAGGAAGTGTGGAAAAATGTAACCATGATATTGAAACCAAATTAACGATGTGTATGCAAGAACATCGAAGTGCAAAATGGACTGAAGGTATATCTGGTGTTGTGGCGATATATTTCTAAAGGATGCTTTTTTTTAGGAGTACCAATAGCTATGTATCAGAAAAATACATTATTTCATTCACGTCTTAAAATGACATCTTATGAAGCATTTTTTGGCCGAGCTGCAAGTCTTGGCTTAAGTGATTCTGTTATACCACATCTCTTACCACAAGTCTTCACATCCATGAACAGCAGCTATGCAACTCTTTTTTACTTATAATATTGCTTGCACCTTTAGCACCTCAAAGATGATGATACAAATGAAAATTGTCCCGTCGAAGTTGGTGATAATCAACCATCATCCGGTATAACAACAAATCCATCATTAACTGTACAAGCAAATTCAATTGATAAAACTAATATATGTTGCATATGTGAAATAGAGATTATATTTTCAAAAGTGCATTGTTCGGTAGGACCCCAATACATAAGCATAAACTTATATTTCACATTTGGAATATACGGCTAATATATGGTATACGCTAAACAGACTTGTAAGATATTGTGATTTCAAAATCGTTTTGTCGCCTATGACTTAGTTAGCAATCTTCATATAAATCCTTGAAAATCTCTTTAATATAACTGTTTCTAATTTAGGAGTGTGATGCATCATGCCACACTGGGTGTACAACAACAGCCAATTTAAAGCACTTGTGCGTTAGGTGTCATCATAAAGTAGCCAGTGAATCAATACGTTCAGTTGTTGATGCAAATCAAGAAGCATCTGCTGCTAAAATGATTGGTGATAGTGATCGTCATTTGCCACTTGTTACACTCGGCGACAATGTCAGAGTTCCAGTGCCATTAATGGATAGATCTCGTGCTGATCCACCAAATGTTCTAGGTTTGATTATCAAAGAAATCAATGGAATGTATAAGGTGAAACAATTAACCGTCTCTATGCTCATAATCAGTTTGAGAAATATGATCAAAAATAAATCTGTTCTTGGTGGACAAAAAAATTCTTAAATGTAATTGCAAGAAAGGTTGTTTAGCGTCTTCATGTATTCGTAGAAAAAATAAACAAATTTGTAATTCGCGTTGTCATATTAATATGACTTGTAAAAATGTTAGTTGTGATAATAAAAATTGAAATTAAATAACATTCATTTTATATCTATAGATCTTATACTAATATCTGTATAATTTTCTAATAAAAAATTTATTAAAAAAGACGATTTTGATTAATTTTCGAAAAAGGCTGGCCATTATTGAAAGTTGTGGACCAACTATTTCTGGCCACTTTGTATATTGACCGGTCTATTTCATACTGGCTGGTCCATTTGCATATTGGCCAAGAAAATTATGGCCAATTTACAAACAGGCAATAAGACAGGGTCTGTTTAGCATTAGACACAGAAACGAAGATATTCTTCTTCATTATACGTCCGTACAAACTCGCCCAAAATTGAATTTTTTCCCACAGATTCTGAAGGCTACAGGTTTTCCGGAAAGGCAGAAGGAAGAATACCCCGTCTTGCGGCTACCTTGCCGTGTAGGGTGCTGCTGAAGCAGTTTCGATACGCCCGATATCTTCCCCACAGCTGATGATCTTCAGAGGCGGTCACCCATTCTTCTACTACTCACCAAGCAAGCTGTAGCTCTGGACAGAAGGCCAGCCTGACACAAAGTTCTTTTCACCCAATTGCTTGAGCTCCCCATACACACTCACTAACCACATACTAGCACCGAAGTACCGGTGTATGTCACAACGTAGTGAGCATGCTATCGCACGGGTGGTCCGGGACAATAGCCATTAGTAACTTGTCCAAGGTTATTCTATGACTGGGCGGCGCCGAGGCTTGAACACGGTCCCTTTGAAGTACGTGTCGAACAATATAACCATTCAGCCATAGCGGCCTGTTTTCTGGAAAATATGGATCTTCAGAGACTCATATCTCTGGAATAATAAACTACATAGTGGGTTCTTAGTGTATTAATATATCGGCTATGGAAAATACGAAAATAGTAACCGTGGTGGACGGGAATAGACCTTTTCGAATAAAAAATGTGTCGTAAAACTAACAAAAAACACACTTTAGTTGTTAAACATGGCTCTCAACAGGTTTAGCAGAGAGACCTTGCACAGCGAAAACTTCTTTTTCTGTACTTTAGATGACGAGGAATTCAGTCCACTACTCCGAGTTTTGACTTTTTCTTCGTAGTGAAAACTGCATTTTAAAATGACCCATTTTTGAGCTTTTGCTTCATTTTGGAATGAGTGTAGTGAGGCAGCTGAGCCCTTTGGAGGGTGGGTTCAATGACATATATTGTTCATCATCATGTCTACTATATATCTTCAAAGCTGCAGCTCGATCGGTTCAGCGATCCCTGAGAAAACCGGCTAGCAAGGGCACCTTGAAATCCATCGAAAACGGATCTTTGTGAGCGAGCTGCGGACCCCGCAACAACATTTAATTTCTTTTTAAATCTGATATTCCTGTTCAGAATTGAATTCGCTTTGGAATGAGATATGCCTCGATCCATGCGACATACATTACTGTCGTTATTAGCCTTTATTTTAGTTCACTCATGTGCTTTTTTTTTATCGATGTTACATACTGTAAGTGTCATGATAAAAGAAAACTATTTTTTACAGCGTTGTGAGGTGTCTGCGACTGTCTGTGCGTTGTCTGTAAGTGTCCGTAGGTGTCAGTGGATATCTGCAGGTGTCTGTAGGTTGATTTGGCTGTTTGGGTTATTTTCTGCGTGTCTGTGTAATGTGTATGTAATTTTGTGGTTGTCTGTGTAGTTGAATGTGTGTGGTTGTCTGTAGACCATTTCGAAGCGAATCTGAAAAAATCAAGACGATATTTTACCGCCTGAAAAAACGCAAGTTAGCTTCCTTTACTGTATAAAATACTAGAAAACGGAGGGGTGAGAGAATATCTTATTTTGGAATATTGTCGAAATTTCCAAAATTTCTCTAGACCTATTTATCTTTTAGCTTCTATGCTTTTCAAAACTAACAAGAACTATCTAGTACCTCATAGTTGAACACCCAAAAATATCAAAATTCTCTTCATTCTTCAACACTGTTCAACTGCTGCTCTGGATAATGCGGATTAAAAACTGAAAAATTTTCAGCGAATCTCGATTGAATATTATATAAAAAACATCAGCGTTCTTACTGTTAAGATCCTAACAGATTCTTATCCACTCTTAGAAAAATCTTAGACGGTATAATCTTAGTAAGATCTTAGAAAAATCTTATTAAGATTTAAATAAAGGTTTAGTTTACACTTGTCTAAGATCTCAGAAAAATCTTAGAATTTTCGAGTATCACGATCTTAGTAAGATTTTTTTAAGATCTTAGACATATGTAAGCAAAATCTTACTAAGATCATAATAAGAGTTTTCTAAGATTTTAGTAAGATTGGAGTGCATTTTTCACCAGGGATGCCTCGTTTTCGTAAATATTTATCATAGTATCAAATTAAGAAAACAATAAAAGAGAAGGGGCGAGGTGATGCTAATAGTATTGTTTGTAAGCAAATTTTTAACGCAGCTGAATAATTTCTATCACTTCATGATTTACATGTCGCGAGACGAAGTATAAAAGTGGCACAAGAAATAAAATTTGATAATTTTCACGTATTGGTAATCATTGTTTAAAGAATTAAACACCATGATGATATTTGTCCAGTAAGACTACAAAGTTAGTTACACATAGAGAAATACGAAATTGAGGTGAGATAGAAAAATCAGTTTCAACATTTGTTTAACCCTTTCTTTCTTATGATGAAACCTGAAGATTCGGAAATGGAACTTACTCAGAAAACATTAATTTATCGGATGGTCCACAAACAATGACAAACTTTTTTTAGATTTTTTCGTAGGTTTTCATCAAGCAAGAAGATGCGCTTATGCTCATTCGATTAAGAATTTAATTTTCTACAGAACAAGTTGACTTAGTTTTAGAACCAGTCTTTCTTCTTTGTTGAAGAATACGGAAAAAGTAAAATGTCCTAAATGTTATTCTTACTGCACCATCATAAATCACATCCTGTTCCACAAGGGAGCCAACTTCATACTTCGGGCATACCAAAAGGTTCCTCGTAAAATTCTGCAGCTTTTGATGATACTTTAAAATGCTTCGATTAATGTTTTCAATGAAGGTGAACGATCAAAAAAGATGCGTATAAGGAATTTCAAATTCATCTTTGATGATGCTCACATTTTCCATTGTTTTCTCATGAAATCAAGATTATCTCTTATTAAAGCTAATGCGGTGTTGCACAGAATTGAATAGTAGATCGAACGAGCTTAAGCGTATCTTCTGAATCGTTGAATATCTTCGAAGAAACATAAAAACAAATAGCGTGTAAAGACTTCTAAACCATCTAATAATAACATTCTAGTGTACAATATGAAAGTTCGAAATAGAGTGTGACGTTATTGACACGTTGTGTATTGACTTGAATGTCAAAGCATTTTTTATAATCGATAGTTTATTATTTTAATTTGAAATCTACAACTGATAAGGTTTAAATTGATGTAAAGTTTGTGCTCTCAGATCATAGGGTATAAAAATTTGGTATTTAGAAATACCATCGGGAAAGGAATGGTTAATACTGATTAAATGAGAATCGTAAGAGAACTTTGTTCAACATGTACTTTATCACCTAAAGATGAACAAAATACACTTGGTTCAGTAACATTCAAAATGTTATAAGACAAACGGTTTGGATGACGTACTTGTTGCATCAGTATTTAGAAGAATCTAAAAGTCGTTTAGGTAATCTAATAAAAGAAAATTTATTTCATGCAAAAAATGTTATATTAACATGTTTCTCAGCGGGAAAATTGATAACATCTTTTTGCATCATAGACAATCCCAAATTCTAAATTATCTGGAATTGTGTCTTTAATCTTAAATCCTCGTCCGATTTTCATTTCCGGTTGTACAAGCAGTTCTGGTTTCTATTTGTGGAAAATACTGTTTTGTCACGACTACAGCATTTGACTGACTATAAAAGTTAGGAAACGCAGCTTTTTTAGCGACTAAAGTTTTCATAAACAAATATCCGGAAGAAGTCATTTTTATATGCTAATAACGATAGATCCATTTTCGTTTGAAAGCTTTTCCATCTCGTTTCGGATTTTATTGGTTTTATTTTCTTTCCCAAAAAAAGATACAACATTTTTTAATAATTCATTATAGTTACTTTGAGGTGTTTCAAAACAGGTTCATTATGTCAATCCGTGGTAACAATTTTGATTTCTACTAGAAAAATTATTAAGGGTCATTTGCTTCAAATAGTAAAGTCGCGTTTCACCATACTGGCGATCGGCGAATGTCGCCATGACATTCGCCAATAGTGATACCCCTTTCAACAATACCCCTAAACTATTGACGAATGTCCACACGACATTCGCCAATACCTATCTGAGTATTCATTTGATAGTCCGGATTGAATGTTTAAAAATAAGAGACAATTACTTCGCGCGCGAATCAATTTCTTCTCTCCGCCTCCTTCCTGTATTAAACAACCTTTGATTTGTGCTTAATTTTTTCACACTGCACATGACAGTGTTGTGTCCGCTGTTTTGCGACTGTGATTGAGCTCATTTGATCTTGAATACGAGCCAAAAGTTGTGTGATCAAAGCTTTTTGTTTTTCTACCATTTTTTAATAAAATTAAAAAAAAAGAAAAGTCTGTTTTTATTTGTTCTCCTAAACTATTGGCAAATGTTCACGCCATATTGGCCGATTAGTGAATGTCTATTGGTGAAAGTTGAATTGGCGAATGTCGACAAATCCGCTTCAGATTAGTCGGATTCTTTTTGTTTCTTTTTTGTTCCTTCACGTCATTATTAAATTTAACCTGAGACATTTAAGCGTCAGCCCGATCATAAAATTCTTTCATCACAGAAAAACAACTGTTTTCAAAAACTTTAGCGGCTTTACATCCTAGTGAATGTACTTGAGAGTGGATACTTCTTTACTTGCAAATTTCCATGGGTATGTGAAAAGCACTTGACAAATATTTTCAAAAAATACTACTCGACAAATGTCTGAAAGTACTTGCCAGGTACTTGATTTACTTGCCGAACCTTCCACAGGTACTTGGGCAAGTGCTTGGCAAATGGCTTGACAAGAAGATAAAGTAATTCATGTATTTGATTTTCGTGGCAAGTACTTGATTTATTTACAAAAACTGCAAGAACGTTGAACAAAACTTGCGAAGGTACTTGATCAAGTACCCACAGTGGGCATTTTTCGAGTAGGCAGACATTAACTTTATAAGTGGACTGAAATTATCTGAACCACTTTCTATAGGTTTTCGACCATTCTCTTTTCAATGGAATAGTTTTCCAATTTCAACAAAGTTTTCCAGTGAGTTTTCCAGAGACCGGATTTGTGGAAAACCCTTTGAAAAATGTTTTTAAACTGAGAAACTATTCCATTGGATAGAGCATCGTCGATAACCTATAGAAGCAGTTTTTTCAGACCTTCCACGGTTTCTCTCTTGAATTTTGAATTTTCAGCGGAAAGTTCTTCGTGTGAATCCCAAATCTAAGAAATCTATAGAATTCAGAACAGAAGGACCAAATTCAGATGAATTATATACCATCCTTGCAGTTTTTCACGGTGATTCAGAATATATATACATCATGCAGGAAAAAATGTTTTTGAGTGCGAAAAGGCCAGTTTACCTCAAAAACCGAGAGATTTTGAAAAACCAATATCTCAGTTCAGGAAAATATGCGCACTTTGCGCATTCACCATAGATGCACGGCCTCGGGAAGAACATTTTGGTATAAAAATATGTTAGTTCAGACGTGCGCTAAGCTGGGCGTGCTCAAAATACCGGAGAGAGCCTTTACAACCTAGACCGTTTTCGAAAGAATCCATTCCAAAACTCTTAAGTTTTACTCGAAAAACAAAGTTCTTTTTTATTTCTTATTCTTCTGACTGTGTTCTTCCGAATATGATCTCGGTTTTATTCTAATTTCCTATCCTTCAATAAAAATCGAAATTTTACGAAAAAATAGCGCATTTACATGGTGTTTTTGCATTTTAAATCTTTTATAGAAGAAAAAGTCGTAGAATAAAAATTCTTTCGCCATTAAATCGGCCGTCACTCGAAGTATATGAGACACTATTTAATTACGAAAAAGCAAGCTCACTATTTTTTTCTAAATTTCCACCTGAATGCCCACTGTGGTACCTGAATGCAAGTACGTTCACTAGGGCAACATTTAATTTTAGGAGAATCTGATAAAGTCCTTTTATAGATAGAATAAAATCGTTTTGCTTAAATTTCGCAAATCATCGGTGTACAAACGTTTCATCCTAATAGTAAGAAAACATTTAGATACAGCACATTGACGTTTATCTGTTGAATAAATTTTTTTTTGTGATTAATTTATAAAAAATCAAATCTCCATCTACGTTCCCTGATTTCAAAATATACATTAAATAAGTTTTGAGATGGTCTCGGTTATTTTAAAAAATTTTCATAGTGATTTTTCTCGATATTGCGAATTATTTATCGTAAAGAGCATTTCTTTATTTGAATATGATCAAACAATCTTATAATAGTAAAAACATTAAGATTTTATAATTTAAAAGTGCGAAATAAAAAGAAAAATATGTTTTGACTGAGATGTCCTTCTGCAAATATTAATCAAAGAAGAATCGAAAAAGAAGAAAATGTAATGTAAGAAAAAAGCGAAAAAATATAGATGAAAACGTATAAAAACCGATCGCCTTTTACAAATGACACAAGATAACTTTAAAACACAAAAAAATTAGTGAAATTTTTTTCCAATCCTAAAAATGACTGCAAGCACCTTTTATTTAGCGTGCAAAAATAATAATATCGACGAACTTCAAACACATTTGAAAACAATATCCGTAGAAGATCTTAATAAAATTGAATCAAATGGGAGTACAGCTTTGCATGTTGCCTGCTATTATGGACACGAAGAAATTGTTAAATTGTTGTTAGAAGCTGGTGCTTGTCGTACAATATTGAATATTTATAATTGTACACCATATCAAGAAGCAAAAACAGATAATATCAAAGAATTATTTAATCGTATTACCAATAATGATAATGATTCACGATTTGTTGCCAATTCTGGTATTATGGAATGGATACGAATAGATGAACAAGCAGCAAAAAGAGCTAATGATTTTAGAAATGGTTTAGCTGTACATAAAAAATCAAGTAATTTTCTCACTTATATAAGTGAATTTATATTTGGAAATCCAATTACAACAAAATTATTAGCCTATACTAGCGAAAAATTAAATATAAATGATCAAAATGCTATTAATTGGTTTATTAATCAAGCAATGGAAAAAAATGATTATGTATACTTTATAAAAGCATATACAGCTGAAACAAAATTTTATCGTCGAATCAATAGTGATTTAGCATGTTTAAGTGATAATGAATATAAAGCATCAATGAAAAAATATCTTAGTTCAATATCACGAACACTTTTCGAAAGTAATTATGACAAAGGAGCATTTTCGGATCAGAGAATTCGATGGACTTCGGATGCAACATTGATATTTACAGGTGCTCTTCTACATGATACTGAACTACGAAACCAATGTTATTTTAAAGGTACAACATATCGTGGTATGCAAATCACAATAGATGAACTTGAACAATACAAAATAAATACGTGCATATTGACAAAATCATTTTTATCATCATCAAAAAATATTAAAACTGCAATTTGTTTTGCTTATGGTGATAAAATACTACGTCAAAAACCAGATGGTGAATTAATTAAATATCCCATACTATGTAAATATATTTTCAACACTCCGGAATATGCATTTGATATTTCTACGGTAGTGTTCATAAAGTCTGACTGCCACGAATACCCAATCGTCCTTGTATTGAGTGATGTGATTCTCTCTTAAAATTTGAAATCTCATTTATGAATGCTGTAGAAATATTCCGAATATCCACAAGAAGATGAAGTTTTAATACTCCCGTTTTCTTCATTCCGTATAAACAAAAATGAACAAAATAGTACAAATGATATGATCGAATTAGAACTCGAAGAATGTCAATTCTCCTATTGGCAATATTTCTCTAATTGGTTCAACTAAGTGTTTATTCGTTTGTTCTTAAGAGACAGTCCGCATAAAAATCGAGTATACGTAGACGAATGGTTTATCCGATGAAAACTTACTTTTATCTGTAAACATGTTCATTCGATTATCCGTTGAAAATGGTCCAGAAATCCAGTGAAAATGGAATTTTGATAGTCGGAAAACTCGTTTGTCTGCTTTTACGGAATCATACCGAGATGTCAAACAAGTTACTGCGGTGTTCTTGAAAAAACTACCACAAGAAATACGATGCGGATCGGAAAATCAGTAGTAAAGCGATAGTTTTTGAAGACTGAATGAAAGTAACAACCCTGTAACTCGATTTTCCAGTATTGCAGAAAAGTGTTTGACATCTCATTTTGCAAAGAACTGAACGGGCGATCCAATGGAGTGATTAAAAAACTTCTGGAAGGAGCTTCAAGGTCTCTAGGATTTCTAGAAAACCTGTTTTTTTCAGAAAACTTTTTCAAAGCATAATTTTTCTTCGTTGAGATATATAGAGTGTGATGCGCTCTTTTATTTGAAATCAACCGTATGGTTCTACGATAGGGACTGCGGTCAGGAGACGTTTGACAAGTTAAGCCAAATCCGCTTTTCTCCTGGGAGAGAATTTTTAAACAAAGAATTTTTTTCTATAAAACTTAGAGACCTGCGGTCCTCACCATTCGATTCAGCTTGCCGAGCTCTATTAAATGAGGTAGATCTCGTTACTGGCGCCGAAGGTCAGTGTATTGATGGTAAGTTTCATATGGATTCCGCCTAAAGTAGAGAAAAAAAAATTACTGTGGTGGTACTTATTGTACCTCACTTTTGAACGCTTTCTTGAGGTTTCTTTTCAATGCCAAATAGTTCATTATGTAGAGAATTATCTGCTCTACAAGATAAGCTTGTTGAATTTTTGGGACAAACTCGGTGTGACTCCGTGAAAGCAGTTTTAACGCAAAAAACCGAGTTTTCCAACTATCAAAATTTCAATAAACTGAAGTTTTTCCAATACTAGATTGCGCGATTAACACTTGAAAAATAGCCTGTTTTGTACAGTTTTTTCCGCACTTTCGACTGATATATAGCTCAAAATTATAAAGCTCAGAACGAAAGAGAAAAAATTAAAATACAAAGACATGCGATTTTTGAGAACTTTTCGCAGGGCTCTTCGTAAAAGTTTCATAAATCGGTAAGAAAACGTTTCTAAGGCCTCAAAATTTGAATTTCTGGATTATTTTCAACGGAGAATCGAATGAACATGCTTACAGATAGAAGTAATTTTTTACTGGATAATCGAGTTTCTCAATAGCAGTACGAACTGTCTCTTAAAAAGTCTTTGTAGGAAAAATCTTACGAGGGAATCTCTCGAGGTGATTAAAAGCTTTTCGACTCAGACTATTTTCATCATGTAGGGAATAGTCAGTAGTGAAAAACCCCAAGTTGGTTTGGTCCCATGCGCCTTTTTGATGGAGATATGAGTTAATTAATGAAAATGCTATTAATAATAATTAATTAACAGCTCACGACCATGATCAGCTAGGAGTCGGAAATTTACACCATAGTTGAAGATAGATGTTATCTACTCACTGCGACACTTTTAGGCTTATAAACCAGAGCTTTTGCATGTTATGAATTTTTTATGATTTAGACAGTTTTTAGTGGAAATTCACCATTGAAAACCTAAAAACTTGTTATCACTTTTTAGATACCTCTATCGATTCAGGAAAGACTTATTTCATTTAAATATAGGTCCCTAAGAGCCACTG